CTCATCGACAGGCGACGCACGTGTATCGCATGTCGAAGGACACGCTCACGCTTTCTTTTAAGAATAAGGGCTTTATAGCCCTTCCTCTCTTATGAGAGGGGTTGCTAGGGTTTATGATATATTTGTAATCATGTTATCCGTTACGTGCCTTTCCGTTACAACTGCTTCTAGTAACAAACTGCTACGAACCTTTTTTTTCACTTTATAGTTGTACACACGCACATATAACACCTTATACAATAGAACGTAGTCTTTTGATAAAAATCTATTTGGGTTGTTTGATATCGCATCGTTTTTATTTACACACTAGAATCAAAGCCATTTAAAGGCTAATAAAACACGAAAGATATTATCGGGTATCCTAAAAATTACATAAATTAACTATTCAAAACCTAGAAAATGAATCAAATAATTCCTGTTTCTAATATAAAGGACAAAAATAAATTACATACGCATACTTTGATACTTGTCACTACTACAACACTATTGATCCGATAGCTCGCTCCGTTGCCGGTTGATTCGAGCATAGTCCCTTCTTAACATCCCCTTCACCACTTTGTCCCTTTCTGTACATACCCGCTTTTGCCGCTACCATACTACCCTCGTGTAACCCTTTAGGGTCACATTTCTTGTAGATATCATTGCTAGACCTTCAAAGACATAAGATCTTTTTTAATTTTCACTAGTATCATAATAATTGACATTTTTAATTCATTGTAATAGATCAAAGATATAGTAATATATATATTCATTCTTGAAAAAAGTTAAAAAAAAAAAAAACAAGATTATAGTACAAATCGATGGTAAGAGGAAGAAAACAAAAAGTAACTCGCGTATCTCGTAAGAAGACGAGGAGGACTACGACGACGATGGTGGCGAAAGAGCGAAAATTTGCGTCCGCCTACCCCATCCGCACTATAAATCAGTTGAAATTTGTTATGCGCGGCACGCAGATGGTTTTGTTATATGAAAATATGTGCCGCGTAGGGATGGTATAAGTATCCCTCGGTAAAACACATCCCTTATACCTCATACCATTTACGTTGCTTGCCCGCCTCATCCCGTTCCTTACCCCAGACAACCCCGAGGCGTCATACTGTTCTGCGCTCTCTTTAATTACGCCCCAAAACCAGGACGCGTGACGTATTGCCGTGTGGGTTAGGAGGAACCCAAAAAAGCGACCTTTGCCTTAGACGACGACGATTGACGACGGGTCAAGTCGTCGTCGTCGTCGATTTCTTCTCGTTAACCAGAATCGTGGAAATAATGTGTCAATCTCATAGAACCAATGTTTTATAAATCTTGTAAGAAAAAAAAGACGATAAGTTCGTAAAACGTTAGTAAGAAGGAATAACGAAATATGTGAGACATATATCATGGAAAGAAAGTTTCTTTTTAGGCGAACAAGGTCCGGTAATGGAAGTTCCACTTAAACCGATGGCCCGTACAGCGTTAAATATTTGATAAGAATTCGATTGGTTTAAGACGTCAGTTCTCGTGGAGCGAGGGTAAAGCTCTCTTCTTTTAGAAAGAGAAAAAATATAAAGCAAGGGCAAGAGATGGACCTAAGCATGGACGAACGGTTAGCGAAGAGAAGGGAATACTATTCCCCGGAGCCGAGCTACCAAGCGATGTCCAATCGGGCAGCTGCTTCAGTCACAGCATTTCTTTTCTTTTCTTTTCTTTTCTTCTTTTCTTTTTTCTTTTTTTTTTTTTATCTTTCTTCTACTCTTTCCGTAATGCCATGACACGAAGTCCGCTTTAAAATCTTCTTCCCTTCGATTCCTCTTCCTGTAGATGCTATAAGAGGGAGAGAATACCAAGAGTATCGCGGGCTCCCCCTTTAGAAATAAAGCCAATTTCGGTGTCGTTAGTCTGCGAAACGAAGAATCACGACTATGAGAATACCACCCTCGACCGATGGACCGATCGACGAGGACTGTCCTAGGAGTCGTTAAACGAGATTCCTTTGTGAATTCTATCTCGGACTACTACTACTACCGTGGTATCTCCAAAAATACTTTTGGACAATGCAATATCTTTTGATAAAGTTGACAACAACGAGTTTTAATTAAAATAACACAAAGAGTATTTTAAAACAAATCAATGAAAGTTGATCTTTATTTTGCAAAACCTAATAACATTTACGTTTTTGTAATCCGCATGAATTTAAGTGTACGTATATATATATACGAAAACACCAAGACGCTTTTTGAAACATGGCGTGTAAGGGTGCGAAAAGTGGAAGTAGAGTCACAAAACTCGCGTGAATCCACGTGGTGCCAAGTGGGGTGCATTAGCCAAGTTCCCCATTATCCACGCGTGAGAGACCCTTAAATTATCCAGCGCTCGCCTACTACTGGCGACCTTACCCACACCCTAGAATGTTGGCGAGAAAAAGACGTACGAGCTATTCGTCCAAGAACACGCTTTACTTGGCTCTAATGCCCTTGGAAAATTCAAGACCGATTCTTCTCTCTTTTCTCTTTTCTATAATATATTCATTCCAATTAAATCAAGAAATTGTTGAAACGAATTAACAATTTTTGATAAGGTATCGTAATAAAATTGTTAAGAACGTTATGTATCCGTTGCTATAGATCCGTTAGCGGTTTATTTAATTGGAATTGTCGAGGGCTCGAAGAAGGACGTTAGAATTAGGGAAAGGGAAAAGCAAGAGAGGTTGTTCAGCAGGGCGCTGAGGAAATCGGGGAACGAAGGGGTAGGTGGGGGATGTTGAAGTTTAGGCTATCTCGCAAAGCACAGTTCCAAGGAGGCTCCTTTAGACTTCCAGTGACGTGACGTCGTCTAATACTCTAATCCCTCCAATGGAGGCGCCATCGTCCGCTCTACTGCGTGTTCATCTTCCTAGATACCAACTCTTCCCACTGAGGAGGCATGGGTAGCACTCGCTAATTAATTGACAAGTACGGATTTTGAGGCGACAAGACTTTTCATCTTTACTCAAAGTCACGATGTTACTTATTACACATTTAATAATCGATAATTATCTAATTAGCAAAGTAATGACATTATTTAAATATTGTTTTTTTGTATTATAAATGAAACCTTTTTTTTTTTGTTGATTTTCTTAAAATGTGTCAATTCGATTGGAAATCACAATGGCACCTTTTTCGAAGATCATCACGAAAGTATCCTTAGTCTTGCACACATCCATGGGGCTATCTACTCTAACCATGCCAGGGTTGCTTTCTAATTATTCCCCGCAGGCCGTAAGGGATGGCACGTAATTGGAGGGTGGACGACGAGGACGCATCGATCCTCGAACTCTAAAGGGATTCTCTTTCTCTCTGGTATAGTACTCTTTCTCGTTTGTTCCTTATTCGACTCTCTATCATTCCTAAGGAAAACTCTCGGACGGGTGAGCATCGGTCCGCAAAGAAAAGTGATAATGTCTTAAGCCGTTGGTGCGATTTAACTTGTGATTTCGGGTATGGGTACAATTCACCGCGATCCTTCGTAGGAGTTCGTCGCTCTAAACTCCGGGCTCCGTGGTTTGAGGAAGGTTTAAGGTTTAAGAGGAAGCTCTTTCGCTTCTCTGAATCCTCGAAAGCTCTGCTAAGCGCTGATGCTGATCCCACTCTTCCTCGACCGTCTTCTAGAGAAGCAACGTTTATCTAATTTCAGTAGTCAGTTCGTATTATTGCTGTAAATCTTACATAGACGCATCTATGTTCACTTGTATAACTAGTCAATATTATAAAGTCTTCTGAACCGAATGAAAACCTTAACTCCCATCTGTACGTCACATATTATATACATGTAATAATTATATTTAAACGTTACTATTATCTTTTTGTTCGTTTTTTCAAAACCTTACTATACGTATTGCATTTAATTTCTTTATTCAATATTAGGGTATACGTTTCGAACCATGTCATTTTAAAGGCTATATGTCATCGACATTAAAATTAAATATATATATATATATATATATATTACTTTGATAACAGAGTTCTTTAACATTCGGTATTTCCGATATAAAGCAAGTAGGATACGTAAATAAATTGACTTATAGAGAAACAAATATATATTGTAGAATAGAAATAAAAATCGAAGTGCAATATAATGGAAGAAAGGGGGGTGGGGGAAGGAGAAAAGGTGCGCAATGTATCTACCTTTATAGAAGGATAAAATTGTGGTGTGTGCATCTAGGAGCTGTATCCCCTTCTCCTGTGTCCCTGGGGGTGGCGAGACGACAAAGAGGGTGTATATAGAAGGGGCCGGGAATTGCGCTCGAGAAAAGCTTAAAGGGGGTGGACAGTGCGCAGAACCCGCCCCCACTTTTCGCGACGAAGCAGAAGCTACAACGCAACACGCGCAAGCCCTTATCCCTTCCCTTTTTACTGTAGAGGATCGCCACCCCGTACTAACTTAAACATAGAACAGTAGCTTATGAGCAACCCAACTGTAAGGGTTCTCCGCGCATTTACGCAGCGCAACCTCCGTCCATACGCAACCGCGATTCATTCTGCGAGCGCGCGTGTTCAGCGCGTGCCTCGGCGCGTGCGTCTGATTTTTTGACAGACTACCTCATAAATAAAAAACATAAATAAAAAGCAAATAAAAAAAAATTAAGAAACAAACGAAATAAAAAGGTGCCCTCGGTTCAGAGGGGATGTCTATGTTTATCGATTAATCGATCGCAATCGGGGAAAATATACTTCTGCTGCACAGGAATGGGCCACAGCTCTTTGGACAGTGTCCTCGACGGATCGCAGGTGAACTTTCTCTCAAAACATGATCGTTCAGATCTCGAGATCACTATTACGTAGATAACACGTTGAGAAGACACGATTCGAAGATCTTACGGATCGATCGTTCATATCCATTAAACTGATCCTGAATCAACGAGAGCCGTGTTAATTAGATTGCGCCGACGATGAAAGAGAAATGTGCACTCGTAGATCGAATTGAATGCATTGACGCATCCGATGGGAAAATAGACTTGCTGATCCTCTGGAATTTTTGTGTTCCAGGGTGGAACTGACCAGCGTCCCAGGCGGGCAGAATGCAATGGCACATCTCAAAAAACGGAAGCTGGAAGCAGAGTCGATCAGTTCGAATCTTAAACAACCTCAACAACAGCAACAACAGCAACAACAACAACAACAATTGCAGCAACAGCCATTACTGACAAACAAAAAGGGTCCTCAAACCAGCGTTCCGAAAGAAATGGAGGTGACTGACGCAGCTGCTAAAAGAAGAAGAAAAAGTGTTCGTGACGATGAAATACGAAAATCGGTTGACGTTGATCCAAATAAAAATATATCTTTACCGCAGAAGAAACGGGCGTTCACATCGGGAAATTCAGGAAGTCCGGCTAGAAAATCAAGTAAACATTGCGAGGAACCGGAAGACGATGAAACTCTTATAAGAGAAACTGAAGCAGCATTGAAAAGTTTATCTGGAAGTTGGCCCGGACCTAGAGGTTCGTTATACCAAAGAGGAAATTCAGAAGAAGACAGATATGAGTCTAATTTCGAAAATCTTTTCGAAGAAAAGAAAGAAAATCCTAAATTATCACCTTCGTCGTTATCTACCTCGTCAACCACCAGCACGGATGCTGGTTGTTCGTTAAAAGACGTGATAACGCTTCGTGGTCAACATGATCGGTGCGGTAGATCCCAGATGCAGATGAAACAAGATGTTATGAAGCAACAACATTTGACGAAGGGCAAAAAAGAATTCGATAATTTGATCAAAATTGAAAATGAATGTGCGAACATACAATGTCAGGTAAACACATGTCAAAATGAATCCGGTAAGATTCGACCAGTATCGGTTAGATCTTTAGCCGGCAAAGAGAGAAATGAAAGAAATCTCGTTGGTGCTCACGTTGATTCCCAAGGCCGTCAAGTGGACAATAAATATTCCAGATACGAACCACCAGATTTTAACGAATTAGTTGACGATTCATCGAATGAATTAGAAATCGACATGTCAGATCCTACTCCCGATAAAGATGATACCACAGGAGAAAGACCAAACGATCGCGACAGAGATAGAATGTGCAAAAATGCAGAATCCCCTTCCATCATCGGAAGACAACAACAACAACAACAACAACAACAGCAACAACAGCATCATCACCAACAACATTATGCGGGATATCAAAGGCAATACCATGAAAATAATATGAAGATCTCACCTACGGCAACATCATCTAATTCTTCGGTGTCAACGAATTCTCCATTCTCAGCCACTTCTGCATTCAGGCCTCCTACCAGTGATCATTCGAAAAACATTTGTCGCAGTACAGCAACGGTACCGGTTGGTGCAACCCCCATACCACCTATTGGTCCATATCCAGCTTCGGCTACCTTCGTTGGTTATCCAGCACCAGGTCTTGGCCCAACGATGCCAACCCCACAGCCTGTCCCTGGTTTATCACCGACGTCAGAGGATAAACATTCACCGACCGTTTCGTTGTTGCAATTAAAATCATCGAAAGAAGAATCGCATCACGTGTCGGTACACGATCCTTCATCCAACACGGTATCTAGCAGTAAAAGTCCAACAGGACTTCCCTCAGTGACAAGTCCAGATTCCTCAAAACAGTATACGATTCTTCAACCCGCTGGAGTTGGTTCTAGAGCTGCCAGTGCTATTCAAGATATTAACAGAGAAGGAGTGGTCAGTGTTGCTGCAGTTAGCAATTGTACCACTGGAAGCAACAATACGAACAACAGTAGTAATAATAATAATAACAATGGAACGAATTGTAATCGTAACATTGCCAACAAGAATACGAATAACAACAATGTGAATAATAATAATAATAATAATAATAATAACAATAGTGGAACTAATGGAAGTTCGAACAGTAACAACGTAACCAGCATTTCGATCACCGCTGTGTCTACCAGTACCACATCCAGTTCCACAAATACCAATGATGGTTCATCTGCAAGTGGAACGGGACAACAGGAAAATATGATGAAAATGCCAGAAAGACCTAACACGTTCGATGCCAACAGACCAGGAATGTCCATGTCTCCGTCCAGTCTCAGTAGAGGTGAGAAATGAGAATCAGTTAAGATATTTAACGTCTTGATAGTTCTATTAATGTCCTTTAAAAATAACAATATTCTAATCGATAACGTGTATTGTTTTTTTATTAATCTTGAAACTATATCCATCGTATTTAATTGTAACGAAAAAAAGAAAGTTTAAGAATTGATGAAGAGATAACATAGTAAAGTGCTCCCACTCGTACGTTATACATTATAAGAAAGGGACAAACGGCATTTCGGACTCTTCAGCTTATTCCGTTACTTCGTTACTCTTTCTCACTCTGTCTCTCAGTTCTACACCCCCTCCCTATTTTCTCTCTATGAAGTTAGGGGAGTTAGGGCAGCTCGGAAAATCAATAATTACGAAGCGAGGGGTGATGACTCAAATCGTGAAATCAAGGTCTCAACGGTTGAAGATATTCTATGTGTCCTTTCCTTAAGCTTATCGATATTCTGCAACGAAGATGTTAAACTGCATTGATTGATGGCTTTGACCAACTTCTGTCCTAATTGATGAAAAGTATTTTGCTATAATATCAACGAAACGAATATCAATTCCTGCAATATTTTGATAAAACTAAGATATCTCGTAATTTATATTTAAATTTCATATTAATTGCAATAACAAGTTGTGTATGTATATGTAAATACTTTTGGAGTAGTAATAATCGGTAATTAAGAAGAGAAATAAGAATATAAGACAAGAGTAAGACGTAAAGAAAGAGATAAAATTTGATAGTATAGGTGACAAGAAGCGTGGTGGAACGTGACAGGTAGAGACTCGAGTGCATTCCAGGGTCTTAGGGCAGCCCTGACACGGTGTGTCTAGTCGGGGGAAATTTGGGGTTGATACCACGTCATACGTATAAGCCGCAGCTGTCAGCGGCTGGAAACGTGACTAGCATCGCAGCCGTTCCAAGCCACCTTATTACCACGCTGCGCCCTGCTGTCGTCTGTTATTATCCCCTTAACATTTTCTCCACCCGAAATTGTGAAAATTAAACATTTGCAAAAATTCAATCATTTTCTATTTCAAAATCATTATTAAAAAAAAAATTTAATGTGATCAAGTAAAAATATAATAATATATAATAAATATATAAATAGTTTCAATATTTATATCATAATAAAGCAATTTTTTTAACTTCTTACTAATTTTTTAGAAATCTGAAATAATCGAAATCTATTATAAAATTAGTGTAATTCTTTGTTACAACCTGTTCACAATCACAACAATCAAATATACTGATAATTCATTCAATAGTCGTATCGCGTTCTACCTTGTTTTTTTTTTCGTCACTTTTACGGGTCTACACGCACGCGCGTAAATGCGCGTTGACACGCCATAAAACCACTATCAGGAAATCCTTTGGCCGCAAAAACCACCCCTTCTTTTTTTTATTCGCATTGAGACCACCGTGGCAAACTCTCGGTCTAGCTAATAAAAAAATAAACTAGCCTGTAACTCAATTTTACGCTGCCTTTGCGCGACCGTACGCATAAAAAGGGCATTTACTCCCTTTTCGCGTGAGAGACCCCCTTTCTCTCTCTCTCTCTCTCTTTCCCCCTATCCTTTTAAGAGTAAACGTCGACTTGTGTAAATACTCCTCTCTTGATCTTATTTCTTCTCTTTGTTTTTTTCTTTTACCCTTCTTCGATGAATGAACTCATTAAAGAAAACCATTCACATTCGTTATATTTTGAATTTAATTTACGTGTGTTTTATGAAATATAACATCACGAAACACTGTTCTGTTAAAAAGTAAAGTAAAAAGGAAAAAAATAAATAGAAAAATAATAAAAAAAAAAATTTCTCACCCCTTAGAACGAAAGAGATAGTGGATAAAAATAGAGAAAAAAGTGGTAGCTGGTACATTCGCGTTGAGTTTCGTATCAAGTCGAGTGAATAAAACAATCCTGGTGTTTATGTACACCTTTGGCCCTCCCGCGGTGACCCTCACGTGAAATGGCTACAAAATAACACAATTACACACTCCGGTCTCAGCCTCACCCTTCGGCAACTACTACATAGTACACATCCTCATTCTCACCCCTTGATTCCACTCGTTTCCTCTTCTATCCTTCCTTCCACCTACCCTGACTTAGGATTCCCGTAGAAAAAAAAGAAAAAAGAGAGGGATGATAGGAGAGGAGGGATCAGAAAGAGAAAGAATCGTGGTAGGACCGACTCGTTACAAGTCTATTCAGACATCCGTAAAGAACAGCGCGTGCCGCTATTCATTTTGTTGACCGGAACCATTATCCTTCCCCCATCGTTTTTTTCCTTTTTTTCTTTTTTCTCTTTCCATCTTTTTCCTGAGCTTAGCCAACGACGACGACGACGACAAGTTGGGTTTTAAAACCTTACGGCTAATTTATTAATCCTACCAGTGGCTAACCGCGTGCCCTCACTTATCTCGTCACCCCTTTTTTTCCTTTTTAGAGAACGATCCTAATTAAAAAGGTAGGAAGATCAACCAGTAGCCTAAATCCCTTTAAATAAAAAATATTTCATTATTTTCGTAATACTTTTAATTATAATTAAGACAATTTGCAATCAATGAGATGTAAAAATTATATTCCGAATATTTTTCTTTCAGAAATCCAATTGCAAATAAAATTTTGGTAATTTTTTTTGTTAAAGATACCAATCACGCGTTTATCACATTAAATAAAAATATTTAACTATATTCTTAATACTTTTAATTATAATTTGAACAATATGCAATTTGCAATCGAACAGGTGTTAATATTTCGATCATTTCTTTTTTTTGAGGTTTTTTTATAAAATCCAATTACAAATAAAACTTTGATAATCTTTATTACAAGAATATATATTTTTTTAAAGATACCAATCACGCGTTTATCACAGATACGGTTGGGTAGTGTTCTCCTTATCGTTAATTTCGACATAAGGCTTTGGAACTCTCTGTAAATAAAGTATGCCGCTAATGACGTCACGTATCGTAATCCAATTTACGAAGTGGGTCCGACTGAAGTCGCCTTAAGGAGAACACGGACATCTAAGCAGGGTTAGGTTCTTCTCTATCTCACTCTCTAGTACGCGAAATGACGGGCTGATGAAGTTTTCTGCCGTCATGGCAGCCGATTCAGGATCGCCCGTAGTTGGCTAGAGGGATCAGAGTCAGAGGGGGATTAGTACACGACAAAGTTTATAAAAGTGCGCTTACTCCAAGGGGGAAGAGCTTCGACGCCCCAACCTAAACCTGGATTCATCCTTAAGGTTCTCTCGGAATCCGTCTTCGACCCTTGTGATACACGTGACAAACTTACTACCTATCTAAAAAAAAATATATATATATATATATGTGTACTCTGTGTAGGTGTTGAATTCATCTTATAAATTTATTTGATTAATTTATCAATACAAATATATAAATTTACAATACTAATCAACGCTACACTCAAAGCAATAATTTTTAATTACAATTTATAGTTAAGTTCTTTTGAGTGTGCATGTGTGTATGCTTCTGTATTTATAATTTAACTATGCAATATTTATAACAAAGATTTTGATTATTTTATCAACTTAAGGTTCAAAGATAGGAAATAGAAACCATTAGTCTCATCCCGATAGATTGATACTTCTCGACTATCCGCACTTATTGGCAGCCTGTAATTGTCTGGTCACGCGAGGTCACTCTGAGAGCACGAACATGATCGTACATGATTTATACTGTATCATTAAGGTGTATTTAATGCACGACCAGATCCTAATGTCGGCTTCCTTTTTTTTGGTCGTAGTTTTACGAAGTTCAAAGAAAAAAAAAAAAATTCAAAAAAATTTCTAAAAATATTTTAGAAGTTCATGATTGCAAAATGGAATTAAAAAAAAAAAACAAGTACACTAATGATGCACAATTAATACCTGACACTATTCCCTAAGATTTAAATTATTTTAGACAGAAGTTATTCATAAATAATATTTCTAGACTAATTAATAATTATTTATAATTAATTTGAAGCTTTTTGGTAAAATTGTTCATTGAAAAACGATTAAAACCTTAGAATATATCGACAAACGACACATATATTGAATATGCACCCCACGTACTAACTGAAACAACGACGTGATGTTGGACATGTTCGGTTGTCATCCATTTAATAGTTCATTTGCATTCGACGACAATATTATACAAGTGTAATACACTGCTGAATACTACCAACATATCGTATGTGTATTATATACATTTAAAACAAAATGTATATATTTATTCTATTCAAATTAATAATATAATATAATACATATTTTTACTAAATATATATAATTGTTGGTTTATTTATAATCGTAAATTCTTCGTATGATTTTCTTGATTAAACAATCTTTCCATCGAAATAAAGGTTGTATTAAAGTAACCTCTTAAAATATCGACTGTGTGGTGGTATTTAACAGGGACCACAAGAGAAATTGAGTTTCACATAATTGATTGCTGCAAATAGTAAACTTTATCAAAGCGTAATTATTAAATCATATCCAAACTATAATATTTCGTATTAAATAAATACAACCAGGACACGATATATATTTACAAATAATATTTTATTCACGTTAACATGTTCAAAAAATACAAATCATTTGATTTATTCGAAAGAGAACAACGATTTATGAACTAATTATAATTAAACATAAAAATCAATTATTGTTAATTAAAATCATACTGATTCAATATTTAACAATTTGTAATACTTTAAAAAATGAGAATTGATCAAGCAAACATAAATTCACGTACTTCGCTTTGATTTGTTACAGAAGGCAACAAGTGTCCAACCCCAGGTTGCACGGGGCAGGGTCACGTGACCGGACTCTATTCCCATCACCGCAGGTAAGCAATTATCAGTAATTAATCCGCGTTTTACCCTCTACCCCGTTTGATAAGGACAGATACGCGTTTCACTATAATCAAACTTCAATAGCAAATAGAATTGATGTTTTTGTCGAACGATTATAAATTTTTTAAATGAATGATAGTAATCAATAATGAAAAATTTATGTTTATTTGTTCACAGTCTATCTGGTTGTCCACGGAAGGATAAACTAACGCCTGAAAGTGAGTACAATTTTTTATTATTTGAAGTAATTCCTTTCTTAGTAGTGCATCTTCTTTTTTCGAGAGCGCCATTTTCCATTACAACGAAGAAATTAGGATGCAATATTTATCAGCTGTACCTTTAATTAAAATCAGTCGATGGGATAAAAAAGTATTTCAATTGGATTTTGTTTCTTTTGACATAGTCGCGAAGTACATTAAAAATCTACATATGAGTTTATCGTTAAAACGATATATATAGGTACCAACACAAAAAAAGAAACTAGCCTCTGCGTTCCATTATGTGTGTTTGTTTGTCTGTCTCTCTCTGTCTCTTTGTTACATATTCTTTCTCTGTGCTTTTTTGTTTTGCGGGGTAGAGAGCTTTTTATTTATTGCGTTCCGTTTCGTTTCGTTTCGTTTCTTTTTATTCCGTTTTTCATTTTATTATTATTATCTCGTTTTTTGTCTTATTATTTAGTAGTTTATTATTATTATTATTATTATTATTTTATTATTATTATTATTATATAGTAGAGAGTTTTATCACGACACTCGTATTTGGTTTTCTTGGACGTACCTAAGAACCTGTGGAGAACTCGAGACACGAGAAGTGCGAAGGACTCTCCCTCTCCACCCCCCTTTGGCATTTAACGTGTGCGTCTGTCTAAAACTATCGTACGGAGGATTATGCGATTGAGTATAATTACCTTGTGACTTTTTTCCTTCGTCAGCCTTTTATAACAACACCCATTTAGAAAATCGTTAAACAAGGATACGACATAAATGATATATTTTATTATTATTGTTATTATTATTATTATTATTATTATTATTATTACTATAATTACAAATCATGAATAATCACATTTAAAATATATTTCATAATCGTTGAATTTTTCTAAAGATCAATATTTAACGTGTCAATTATAATTATGCTAATTAAACCTTCGCTATATTATTTACGATCATTTAATATTACATTCGAATACAAGATACACATTATCAAACAATACTACATCAAAATTGAACAAGTTGTTGATAAAAAAAAATACATACATACAGTGTACACGAAAATACTTCAAAATCGCATTATATAATTTATCTCTCTCTTTATTAATTATATCGTTATCTCTTGCGTTTCTCTCTACCCGCTTGGTATATTTGATTGTCACTACACATAATGATTTATCGTTATTAATAATATTGTGTAATATTACTTATTATTCCTGTATTCCTATCTAATATATCTTAATGCTATACATTTGTTTTATTTTTACGTGTATATTTTTTCTTTTTTTTTTTTATTATTCTGTTGTTTTATTTTATTAAAATGTATCGATTTCGAAACCCTAATTATTGATATCCACAATAGTCATTTTCCTATTTTTATAATCCTTGTATTCCTTAGAACAATAATAGGAGTAATCTACTCAATCGTGATAATTATACTCAACGCATACAAATATTTATAATTAAATATATAAAATAAGAAAATAAGAAAAAAAAATGATTAAAAATATTCCTCCTTACGTGTCTGATCGTGTTGTGTCTGATCGACGCCACGTGTCTCTGGGTTCTCTTTAGTTCTGGCGATGCATGAGACTATTTTGAAATGCCCAACGCCTGGCTGCAACGGTCGTGGTCATGTCAGCTCTAATAGGAACACCCATAGAAGCCTCTCCGGGTGTCCAATAGCTGCGGCAAATAAGCAGGCCGCACGCGAAGCACGACACAGGGCACAAGGTAAGGTGTAACAAAAAAAAACATCGCAACTCCTAGGGCTCTCCCCATTCGTTGGACAAGAAATTCCTGCAACTACATCGAGTCCTACTGTGTCAGAGATAAGGATTAAATGTTAGAAAGGTGTAGAAACAGAGAGAGTGTGTGTGTAGGTTTTTCCAACCATATATAGGACATGTTCTTCAGTTTTTTTAATCAAAATAATTTCATCGTTATTTCGAATTCATTCACTTTTTTATTTCATCAATTTCTTGTCTTTTACGTTTTCAATCAAATGATAAAAACGAATGGAGATGGTTTTTTTATAATACACGTAATTATTTCAAGTTGAATTCCATCAGTAACATTCAGTTCGTTTACCTTCGTAAATAAAGGAATTAGATTTTTTTTTAACATTTTGAAGAATTTCATCGTGCACCGTACTTATTTGCAGTTATTAATTTTCTGGTTTTTTTTTGTTTTTTTTTCGTTAAATTCCAAACAGCTTTGTCACATTCTTTTTATCCTGGTATTCCGTTTAATAGAACTGCAAGCGTTTCATCTATGTCGTTTATTATTATTTCTAACTCTTCCGCACGCTCTTCATTTTCATACATCAAAAGCTTCCTCCACACACTTTACGGTGTTGCATTCTTAACATTTCCGGGCCTTTTTTGTAGTCTTTTAAGTTTAATATTTATATACGATCTTGTTATTTTTCCACTTGTATCACGTCGAAAGAATAGCATTTATTTTTATTGTAAATTTTGTCTATAAATTTATTTGAAAAATTAAATAACTCCCTGAACCATTGATTGATATAAACAAATTCTTAAATTAATAATTTCATATATTGTTTTAATTGATTCCAATGATCCAAACATTTTGAATAATTTAGAATTTAAATAAGATAATTGTTTCAATATCTAAATTCTATTATATTTATTAACAGTTAATTGCAATATTTAAAATGATTAATCTTTTTTACAATAGTGTCAGGAATACCTCCAGAATATATCAGCACAAATCTACTGCCACCATCAATGGACAGCAAGTCCTATTCGCAGTATTCGTCTGGTAGTCAGGACACAAAGCCAGTGATAAGTTCCTTGACTTACGACTATTATGCCTCTACGAAAAGCACAGGGATAAATGTGAAGCCTCCTAAAACATCAGAGGAAAGTCCACCTTCTCGTTCAAGCAAGGTAGTCCCTAAGACCGAGAACATGACAGCTAGTGGTAGTTGCTGCAATCCTTTACCAAGTAGAGGCCAAAATACATCAGACTTGTTGGTACCTAAGACGGAAGATACCGTATCGTGCCGTGTCAATTCACCGCCACCACCTCCACCACCGACAGTTCGGCCTACATACGATTCTTATATGAATCAGGATTCCAATTCGTCATCGTTGTCATCGATGGATGCAATGGGTTCAAGGGGTACCATAGGTGGTAGCATACATCATTCCAATCAACATCCAACGCATCACGTTTTGCCAATGCAACCGACAGTTGCTTATCCCATGCCAATGGTTGAAGATACGAGGATGAGTCATCAAATGTCTCAAAGATCACCGTACGAATCTTCGACAATGATGGCTGCTGCTGCAGCCGCTGCAGCAGCTGCTACTACCAGCGAAGAACTTTATCATCACAGATCTGCCGAACATGCGAGAGCTTACATGCATCCAGGAACAACTAATATTGCACGACCCGTAGTTACTTATTCGAATGAGATAGCCGCTGCTAGAGGTTACGAAAATCCAATAGCCAATGCTGCTAATCATCGACCATACGATCCAGGTACCACGTCAGCGTATGAAAGATACGATGCACAAACTTGTGCACCAATCCAACCTCAGCAACAGCAGCAGCAACAACAACAGCAACAGCAGCAACAACAACAACAACAGCAACAACAACAGCAGCTGCATTCAAGATCAAATATGTATTATTTGGGACAGACCGGCATGACGCCCGAGGAACAGGAACGCGTTTATCATCAAGAAGCTGCAGCAGCCGCTCAACAACATCAAATGGTTATGGCTGCTGCCACGGCAGCGAGCATGATGAAAACGGAAGATGGTAAATATATTTTATTTGTAAAATTATTTATTATTTATAATTATCGTTATTATTTGAATACGCTTTATAGTGAAATGCGTGACAGTAGCACAAGTTCAACAAATGCAAAAACCTGGTGGACCGCCAACTTCTCCAGGGGGTTCGGTGATGGATCTGTCAACGTCGAGTGTTACTTCTACTAGTCCACAGGTTGGCATGAATTTAGGAATATTCGAAAATCAATATCTAAGTATAGAACAAATATGAATTGTTCATATGAATTGTTAAAATAATTTATAGGCTCCTCCTTATGGTTCGAGCAGTCTCAGTCCGCAATATGGAGGAGGTCAAACTGTCGGTGGTAGTCCACAAGCTGCTGCAAGTCCTCACTTGACTGCAAGTCCTCAAGTCCCTAGTCCTCAGGGTCAAACATTGGACCTTAGCGTGAATAGACTTCACAGGTAATTATTTAATTGAATAGAATATTTATTTAATGTGAACAAAAAAAGAATCATGTAAAAAATTGGATTTCATTGATTTGTTCAGTGGTGCACCAAGTCCTCAATATTCCACGGGTCATGGAGAAGCCGTTGCGGTTCCCGTAGGTCCAGGTTTTCCGGCACCACGACCAATCGAAGAACAAACTGAGCCCGTGGACTTTTCCACGGCAAACGAGCCAGTCAATTTCAGCGGGGGTCCAGGAATCAGGCCTGTCCCAGGATTCCCGCCACCCGGTGTGCACGTAGCTGCATATAGTCGTGAAAGCACCCCTGACAGTGGTGGTTCCCACTACATGGACGCCTACCGAGATCCTACCGGTGAGTTATTTGCCATTTATTGCAATATTATCTCAACCGTTTTCTCGTACACTCGAAAATAAATGATAACCATCTTAACTGGTTACTTCTCTTACCTTCCTATCCTTCCACAAAGTGATACTTTAAGAAAGGAGACACGTTACCACTTTCCTATGTAAAAAAAAAAAAAAGAAAAAAAAGGTTCACAGTGATGAAAGATAGTCGGTTATAACAAGGTACCATAACGTTTCACGTTAGCCTGTCGTTACGTCGATGTAGTGTGGTTATATCTACCGATAGTAGTAGGAAGGGTGGCAAAGAGGAAGTTCGCTGGTGAAACGCGCGGAAGAGAACAAAGAGTGCGACGCCCTCGGGGTTTCGAGAGGCATGAAGAACGTATAGGAGGGTGAGAGAGAAAGAGAGAAAGAGATACGTGGTTACAACCGTCGAATAAAAATTCGCCAGAACAGTACACGACTGCCATAATAGGCACCTATGCCCCCCAACTCTCATTTTCCTCAGTCTCTCTGTGCCTTGGCATTCCAAACCACCTACGCGGCGTCCCCTCTGTCTCTTTTACTTTTTATCTCTCATATTCCCCCATCTCATTCTCCCATTTTCTCTCACGTTCTTTCTTTGTATCTTTCTTTCTCTTTTTCTCTCTCTTTTTCACTCACTAACATTTCCATACACGCACGTACATAGATACTCGCTCACTCTCTTTCATTCTGGACATTCACAGTACACCCTTCCATACCGGACCACCCACTGTGACGGTACACGGCCATTGTTAATTATCAATATTTCGCGTACACGTAGCTGGCAAAAGTCCGGTGCGGCCAATATTGTCCGGACTCCGACGCTGGGGAGTAGTTATTGAAATTGAAACATTCGAGCGCACACTGCTATGTTCGTTCGCCATCAACGTGTTCCTGCAACGTCGCGCAACCACCGCGCACCATCGTCCCCGTCCTCCTTCCCATCCGTCGGCTATTTGCACTTCGCGTTTTTTTCTCTCACAATGAAATGAATTCTTGCCAGTAAATAAATGTGTAAATTTTACAACGGTTAATCAAGTAACGCGTGCACCACACCTTTGTTCTTTTCGAGAGATATTTTTGTTTAATCTTTCTTCGATTCTTCCTCATACGTTAGAAGAAAGTTCAGACCTTTAAATAATATATTTAATCATTATTTTGTATGATATTTTTTTCATAGGATATGGACCAATGAGCCCGCATCCAGGTTACGGTATGGCTGGTGTACAACCAGAGTATCCTGGAAACACTTATACTCCTTACCCCACCGCAAGTTATAATTGTGGTGGAACCTACCCTGCAGGTCCAGTTACTTCTGGATACCAAATTCCAGCAGGTTATACCCCAGCACCGTGTTACAGTATGCCACCACCACAACATACTGTTGGACCTCTCGATAAACCATCCGGTAAAGATGACAGGTAAGAAACTAACCATCTGATGTATCAACAATTCTCTAAAGTTTTTACGCTTTAAAGAAATTGTACACAATCCTTTCTTTTACTGTTGACGATGAATTCAATTTTATTTGGAATCAAATATAAATTCAATAATAATAGATACGTGAGACAAATATAGGATAAAAAAGTATGTTTTATAAGATAAATAGAAAAGCAATATAATACCCCATGCGACAATTTGGCACGATAAGGTCTGTATATTTGGTACTTGCCTTGCGGAAAGGGTCGCGCAAATCTCTCTCGCGATATATTCGCGCCCGAAGCTCGAAAAGGCAGAAAGGCGACGGCTAACATCGACGGACTGTGCAAAAGGGGAGAGGCTACGCATACCTACCTCCATTTTGTTAATTAAAGTAATTACTCTTCGTACCGAAAGTGCCAACCTTATTCTAATTGACGTAAAGCTCGGCGGTATGGCGTAGAAGGCGCGGTTCGAGGCATGTAAGAGGTAGAGAGATAAAGAGAGAGAGAGAGAGAGAGAGAGAGAGAGTGAGAAGGAAGTGGAGACGGAAGGAAGAGAAGAGAAGAGAAGAGAAGAGAAACGTAGTAGAGAGAAAGAGAGAGAGAGAGAGAGAGAGAGAAAGGACAAGCCAAAGTATGGATGGAGAAGGTGGTGAGCTGCCGAGGGTGGATAAGGTTGAAAGGGAAGGTGGGGTATAATCAGTTGCTACCGCACTGGATTATAGGGCTAAAGCTGCGCTGTCCCGTCGGAGTTAGAACCCGGAACTTACCTACACTGCCTTACCTCTACAACTGGAATCGTTACTTGCATACACGTTGTTCAACAAAATTTGATGTATCGACGTTAAAACCATAATATATTCAGCTTATTCTTTTATTCTTTATACATTTATAATCCAGTAAATATCACGGTTATATTTTTAGCATTTTTCTTACTTATAAAGAAAAAAGAAATGTACAAATGTGATTTAACTTTGAAGATGAAAGACATGATTTTTATTCATTATCAGTTTCGAACTCATGGTCATTTGATTTTAAATCTCAGAAAAGGATTATCGTAAAAATTGGTTTCTTCAAGTCAGGAATTGAACAGGTTATATAATAGTTAGGATATACGACGAAGGCAAAAGTAAAGTGGTTAGAGACGAAGACCGAAAAACAGGAAGGCAGGCAGGCAGGGAGGCAGGCAAGCAAGCAAGCAGGAAAGCAAGCAGATAGGGCAAACCCGAGGGCGAACCAGTGAATTGCACTCAAGTCCGCATCCGCTGGCTTGGTTTCCCAGCAATATCGTGGCCACTCAAGGGTCATCGAGGTTTTCGGGGCATCTCATAGCCCACGGGGTGAGTTCTCGTCCATCTACGAGACCAAGAGCGAGACGAACGAGAAGTAGGAACAAAATCGTCTGCTCTCACCGATTCTGATCCACGTGTTCTCCTTTCGTCCCTCTTTACTTCTCCTCCTACTCTTCCTATTTCTCTTTCTCCGTCAAAAAAAAAAGAAGGGGAACATTTTTCACGAATGTTGTTTCATATATCCGTTGCTTATGATCATCGTGAATGCAAAAAAGGAGCATCGGTAGAAGCAGCAGCAGCAATAGCAGCAACAACAACCCAGCCCAGCCCAGCAGCACCAGCAGCAACAGCCCCCGACCCCTTCCTATTCCGAGAAAAGTTGCAGAACGCAATAAAACTTCTCAGTATTGCATCGTTGCTCTCTTTCTCTCTACTCATCTCTCCCTCATCTCTCTCTCTCTCTCTCTCTCTCTTTTTCTTTCACTCGACGTATTCGGTTAGAGATTTGCTAGCACACGAGGTATAACGATGTTACGCCCACTCGCAAGAGAACAATATTTTTTTAACCAACTTGCGTGCCCTCATATCTCTGATTTTTATTTTTATTTATTCTTCAATTGTTAAAAAATCAAATTTTGAGGGGGGGGTGCGTTTAAAGACAAATACGATTTATTATTGGTTAACGCGATACTCATCGTAGATCAGATAACAGCAGGTAGGCAGGCAGACAATCAGGCAGGCACATTAAATGAGACGAGCAATCGCGTTGAGGTTGTTTTTATTGTTCATATTTGTTCCGTGCAGTATGAATATAAGGAGGCACACGTTGAATTTTGCACCTCGGCCCGCCCCTCGTGGTCGCGACGGCAAGGAGCTGATACAGTGCCCCACGTCGTCCTGTGATGGCATGGGTCATGTCTCGGGGAACTACGCTACCCACAGAAGGCAAGGCAGCAATTGAACATTGATGACATTGACATTGACATTGACATCGTCGACGTTCTCTAATTACATACATACATGCATACATATACCGCGGATACAGTATTTTAATTTAAAAAAATAAAACACTAATAAAAAATATCTTCGTTATTTATGGTTTTATGGAAAAATGGATACTTCAAACAAAGTTGCATAATTTCAAGAATTATATCTGACTATTGGTAATAATTTGTTATTGTTTAATCGATATCCAGAATATTGGTGTTATTTTTTTTAATTAAATCTGACAAATTTGTGTTCGTTCGAATTAACTTTTCGTGAAATTCTGAATAAAAAAATAAAAATGGTATTAAGATACACGATATCGACAAATGATTATTTCACAAAGTAATTTGAAAAAGTGTTTGGTGCAACAATGCATGTGCATGTGCACTCGGGACAGAAAAATATAATCGTAAATATGTAGCTCACCTTAGACCATTATTTATCTCTTTCCTCGTAATAATTTTCCTAATTTCAAGCAGAAAATGAAAAAAATGGTATTGCTTGTTATACTCATTACAATAATCCATCAGATATTTTTTCAAAATACTTCGAAAGATAAGAATTTTTCGACATTGTTCAATACTTTCTTATTCAGAATAAAAGTAAGAATGAATAATTAACGAAATACCAAAAAATGAAAACTATAAAACAATCAGATATATACAGCTTGAATTAGTATAACTTTGTTATAAGTATTTTTATAATTAAACCATAAATATCGAAGATATTTAGGCGTTCCCATAAACTCTGCACCTGGTATATATTTATGTTGTATGTTGAAACAACGATGCAGCACGCACGAACGCACGCTACATACTTATATAAAACATATTTACACACGTCACTGAATCATTTTAACTCTAATCAAGAAACACAGGAATTATTCTCTCTATGAGATGATTTTAATCCGGTTTGATCATTTATTTTCATTTTCATCTTGAATTACAAATTCCTGAACAAACACGAAATCATACATCTTTATACATATGAATAAAATCAAAACGTCTACACTTACGGTTCATTTCTTTTTGTACAAACATCGTATACGTATACCTATATATATATATATATATATACACACATATACATCAACGTATATGTATAAAAAATACTTTATATGGAGGTTTTGCACCATTGCGTGTCGGTGATTCGTAGTGGCTTCTTAGGTGTTTTTGCGTCATCGAATATACTTCTAGAAAATCCTGATTCCTAGTTTGAGCTATTTTGTATATTCGATATAATATATATATAATTGATTAAAATTAGCTTTTATACATGAGTATGAAATATTATATATATCCTTATGTTTTTTCTCATAAGATGACTCTGTCTGTCACCCACTCTCTTTTATTCCATTTATGTCTATTTTAATTGCGTATAATATATTATCTATTGGTTTTTGTAATACGATGCATTATATCAAAGTGTGTAGATAAGTTTTCGTGTTGAATGAATTTTTTCATTTACCTCCCATTTCGACCCGACCCCTACGAAAAGGGATGACAAAAAATCATGATGAAAATGATGCTTTCGTAATTGTGCGAGAAATTAAAAAATAAAAAAATTACTTCTCCATTTACGAGGCTTTTTACAGTGCGTCTAAGTTTTTCTTACGGATTCGTATTATGGATCACCAAAAATCCGCCATATATTGATCAGCTTTCGCCAACCTCAGGTGGGCAGCTTCGTAGCGAACTGTTGTCAATGACCATGTCAGAACAGAACCGTGCCGGGGAAAAAAAAATAATAATCAAATGACTTGACTATAAAAAAGAAAAAAAATACATTTTTGGCAGTGCAATTGATAATTCTAATGGAAACTTAAATAATTGGCAATTGACGAGTTTCACTGGGGTCAGGTGTGAGTGTGCTCCCTGCTCTCCCTTTCAGTGTTCTTAGAGTAAGGCTGACCTTGTGTTGACATGAACCTGAAACGCGATCGACCTTACGAGCGACACCTCATGAGTGATCCAATTGGAACACGGCGTTGCCATTTGCATGCTACTTAAATCGATCTTCGTTGATTGCCCGTTTCAAATGTGCAATTAAAGATAAATCAGGCTTTAAGAGGACAATGCATAAACCCTTTTATAAATAATATACGCATGCGTAATTTTAATCGGGAACAATGTAAATCGAAGCACAATAATATATCGCGTGTATCTACAAAAAAAAAACACTTCAATAATTTTACGTTTCAACCGGATGCAAGGCAAGTCGTCCAATCGTTCAAGTTTGACTTTGATCAATGAAAAAAAATTGATCATTTTTACAATATCATAGTAAGTAAGAAGTCTAAATGGATGATCTCGGTGAGGTAATTTTACATCAGCAGTTCCCATTCATTAAATACAATTTAAATACTAATTCCATTGGTAAAATGGTTATATCCAAGAAAATAAAGCTGTTGGAACTCATCGAGGTCTATCCTATTAGATCACACAGAACTAATGATGGATCCTGCATTGAAAATTCGATGTAAGTATTCTCGCAAACCTCGTGGCAACGTCGCGTGAATTGCATGCGATGTATTGCGGGAGACCTTGGATGTTCTTGAGGTGTACGTTCGTGATTAAAAACCATGAAGATTACAGCGTTGCGATTATTTTATTTATAATTTTCTCGCGCATTTCAGTAAAAGATATTAATAATATATTACGTGTAATCGTTTCACCATTTATAGAAAGAAGAGCAGCGCTTAGTCGTCATGGAAAATGTTAAACATCTTTAACTTGACTGTGAATGTTATCAAATTTTTAGCCTCTCTGGTTGTCCACGAGCCGATCGTTCACAAATTCAAGCGCACTCACAAGAACTGAAGTGTCCAACACCAGGATGCGATGGTTCAGGACACGTCACTGGAAATTATTCGTCTCACAGAAGTTTGTCCGGTTGTCCGCGAGCTAATAAACCAAAAAGCAAACCAAGGGATGGACAGGATTCAGAACCATTAAGGTCAGTTTTTTTAAATAATTTTTATTTGCCTGTAAATACTATCGGCTTTTTTCCATTCATCTTGGTACATCCTTTAGAAATTTATATATTGTAAATTATGGGCTTTTTTGTTTGTTCGATGGTAGGAGGTTAGTTCGATGCCTGTAACAAATTAGAATTTATTCTCTTTCTCTCTTCCATATCTATATATATATACATAGATTTTCAAATGAACACACTGGTAAATCTTAAAGGTTCGGTCTCGTGAAACTCTGATCCTCTCCAAGTTCTGCAATTTGCTGGGTCGGTAGTAATCGCAATCTCAATTTACGTTTTCGTCGCGTTCGCACGTTACATGTAGCTAAAGCAGGTATCTACGTGACCGCATTGCACGTACCAAGATCTGCTACGAGACCAAAAGGGGAAACCCATCCCCTGTAGAACCACGTACTAACTCTCCCTATCCGAGTAAAGACGAAGACGCTGACTAATAACTGGCGGTTTCCGCTCGTTTCACGCTTACTCTGTGTGGATGGATGTTGTGCGGTACTGGTGATGGTGGTCTTACCATTTTGAACTACAGATGTCCCATACCAGGTTGTGATGGATCTGGCCATGCTACTGGCAAATTCTTGTCTCATCGCAGGTAAGGTTAACGAAATTAAGCAAAAAAGAACGGGTTCCTCAAACGAAACATTCGTATCAATTAATTAAATATAACGAAATTTCGTTCAAGATAATTAAAATTACAATAAAATTATTTCTTATCAAATGATTATGGTATTCTATGCTACAATATACAAATACAATCAAGAAGCAAGGATACAAAACCAATCACTCATATATTTAATATAACAACATTAATTTTAAATATATATATGTTTACACCATTAACAACTTTGACGCGTTATAGTGCATCCGGATGCCCGATCGCAAATAGGAACAAAACGCGAGTCATGGAATCTGGTGGAACAATTGAACAACACAAAGCAGCAATCGCAGCGACGACAGCGATGAAATTTGAAGGTGTCAATTGTCCTACACCAGGCTGCGATGGTATCGGTCATATAAATGGCTCATTTTCAACGCATAGATCACTATCGGGTTGTCCTATAGCCGGACATGCTGTCAAGAAACCAAAGTTCGAGGATATGTCAAGCATGTACAGCAAAGGAATCCCCGGTGAGGATCTGACAGTTGCTTCTGTCTTTTCATGCGTAACAAAACTACTATTTCCTATCAAATTATTGATGGAAGAGTAGAACAAAAAAATAGACAACAAGATATATTGCGTGTGGGTGGTTTTTGTGATATTTGATCTGTTAAATATTTTATTACAATCAAAATAGATCTGGTTGGTTTTAAGAAAATGATATTTTTCGATTCAAACTTCTCACGCGCAATTATCACGATTATAAATTAATATTTGCGTTTAATGATACACTTTAGGAAAAAAAAAATAATTAGCATAGAAGAGACATTAGACAAATGTCAACAAATGACATTTTTGCATATGCTTTCGATAAAGATTCTCATCCAGACGTGTGATCATATTTTTAATGATTTGCAATTAAATCATAAAATCTTTGGTTTGTATTATTCATCTATCGGTTAAATATTGTATTATTTATTAAAAATAATTCGTATATCTGGATGAGTGAATTATCGAAATATGCAATATTGCAAATTTTTATTTGTAAATGTGTGCGTACCAGACCCTATTATACTTAGTCCTGTACTATGCCACGCTCAATTATCCATGCAATGATGTGCTGTCATACCAACGATGGTAAACCCTTTCCTATTCCCTCTTTTTTATAATCATTTTTGTCTCCTCACATAATTTTTGCTCACTTTTATTTTCAATAATTTTGTGTACGATGTTTTTGCATCATTACGTTTCTCTCATGCCACTATGATTCAGGTGTAATTAAACAAATCCTGAAATAGATTATTACAAAATTTTGTATATATAGAAAAAGAAGCAACACACTTCTAATAATTCAGCCGATAAACAAAAAAAAAGGAAAAATAACAACACCTGAACCGAAATAATAAAAAATAACATTACTCAATACCTTCATATTCATCTGTCCTATAAACCTAATTTTTGTCGGTAATTAGTTTCGCGTTGTTACCTCTCCTATTATTATATGCAAGAACAAAAGAAAAATATAAGAACAAAGTAAGCGGTATTATCATTAATGATGATGAAAAATAATATATTCTGATTTATTCTGGGATCACGATCAGCTCCTTTCCTGTCATTGAGCTTTGAGGAGAACGTTTACTTTTGAAGGTAAGGAACTGACGTACTCGCCACATGTTTTCTATGTGTTTTCGGTGTTTAATACAAAAATCCACACACCAGTAATTTTACTTTTACGAGATGATGTCCGAGTGTTGGTACCAATAACAAAATATATATACATGTGTGTATATATGTATATATATCTATGTGCGTATCTGAAATTTTATATTAAAAAATTTGTCATGAATTTGTATTGTAATGAAAAAAGAAAATTATTAATTTAAACAACCAGCACTCGGTATCTCCTATTTCTTCTACTATCTGGTATGATGGCACCTCACGCTGTCCTATGAAATTGACCTCATTATCCTAACTCTTTCACTCCCGCAGCACTTCAGTCAGGTTGGTGCGTCTGTTACTTGATGTATATAATAAAAAAAACTGTATCTTTGAACGATCAAAGATTCTTTTAACGGTTTAAATTAGGTTTATAGCGTTTAACTAAAGTAATAGGCGTAACATAAACCTGCGCACCTAAAAGCATATACACCTACAACAACAACAACAACCATGTCGTTTAAATGACGGCTCCAAATTGCTCCTCACAAGCATAATCCCCACAAATTCGCTACAATACCACGTTTATTATTAAAAAAAAAAAATAAGCCTTAGTGCATTTCGATATTGACTTTCCTCTGATTGTAAGCAAAACGCCGAAATGCTTCTATATATATGGAAAAAAAAGAAATTACATAGATAGTCATTAAATTGACAAAAATCAAAAGACTTTTTTTACGATTTCCGAATAATCAGATTCTTTGTATAAACGTGTAATTATTTGTTGAATAACATTAAATATGGCATTTCGGTAAATTCTTTTAATCTGCGAAGATACTCGTAGATGCAAAGAAACTGCTGGAAAACGTAAAAAAAATAAAAAAATAAAAAAAAAGATGATAGTTTGGAGGGATAGTTTGATGAACCGGTCCGTGTCTTTGCTAACTTTAGGGGTGGACGCCGGTGGTCCGGCTCACGGAGGTGCGGTGGGCACGGGTCAGGGTAATACAAGCGGTGGTGGGTCCACAAGTGCCCAGGGCGAAGACCTCTATACACTGGAGGCTGAAATCACAGAACTCCAAAGGGAGAATGCTCGGGTTGAATCGCAAGTACTGCGCCTGCGTAGTGACATCACCGCCATGGAGAATCAACTGAAACAGGGCGAGAAGGTTCGTATGCTCGGTCGATAATTTTTATGGATTACCTTCTGTTAATAAAAACGTTCTTAATAATTATCTCTTTATCTTGATTTATTTATCGAACGTTAGTTAAACAGATATCTCATTTGTTTAACAATTTTTATTTATTATTTAATTATTTGTTTTTTCTTTTAGGAAACAACGACGATAGCTACGCGAAACAATAATTTAACCGAGTACTATCAGTCGTTACGTGATAACATGATAACGTTGCTGGAACACGTACGAATACCTAACGCCCCAGGTGGACCGCCAGAGAAAATGGGCCATGAGAATTTTGATAGTTATCTAACAAAACTGCAAACTCTGTGCACCGCCGACGGCTATTGTGCCGACGAAACCAATCGACCGATCTACGAAACGGTGAAAACCGCCCTACAAGATTTCACGGTCCTGCCGACACCCATCTGAGACCATCCCTAAAGTTCAACGATCGAGTACAGTGTCGTTCGTCGAACATCTTTGATAAAGTGATTAACGATAATGTCAGGATTCGATTTTACCTACTTACTGTTATTGGGTAAACTTTTCGTGTCCATTGTGAAAAAGGAACTTTGCATTATCGACCAGCCCGATTAGCAAATATAATTTAAACAATTTAAAAATAAAAAAAAGATACTTTCTCTTAATAATAATTCGATTCAGGTAAAAAAGGAAAAATTCGTTGACAAAAATTGTTGGATATTATTCGAGAAACATATAATTGAACAACACAAAAATTGTTTCACCGAAACATCTCGATTGTATCCACAGAAAAAAATGTTCTATCAGAACATGTGAGTCGATTATAAACAAATTATACGATGTCTAATTTCGCCATTATGCGAAATATCTTTTGTACATACGAAAATGAATGTCGCGTAAATTAATAAGATCATCGACGATAACTATATTAATTAGCACTTTGTAAATACACGGAAAGAAAGGGGGTTGAAAAAGATAAAAAAAGAAAATGGCATTTATATTATTCAATATGTTGTGGTTATCTCTTTAAGGCATGTAAAAAAAAGGGATTAGCTTAGATGTATATCAGATCTCATTAATATTACTATTGTATAACTGTTATTACCTAATTATTAATTAGCATTAATTAAAAATTATCACAGGAGCTCCGATGTATCAAAAAAAAAAAAAAAAAGGAAAAAAATGATGCTAAAAATGCTGCTTCAGGATATGTCAGAGATTACTTATAAACAAAATGACTAATTATTATTGGTGACTAACTTATTATTGCTAATTAATATTATTATTAATATAATTGTCAATCGTTATTACCACCCCAAAAAAAGATAAAAAAAAAAACATTTCTATAGTGCTACTCCAATAGTAATTATTACCTCTACTACTACTACTACTTGCTACTGTTGATAGTATATCGCTATACATATACAAAAAAAAAATAAAAATAAAAAATACACACACACATACATACACAAACACACATTTATAATGTCAACGATTTTACGAGAAAAGAAATTTGTCAAAGAAAGAAAGAGAGAAAGTTCATGTCCATATGGTGTATATAAACTACAGAGTAATACGATTATTATAAGAAAGAAACGTTCATTAAAAAAATCGCTAAAGTGAGAGAGAGAAAGAAAAAAAAGGTAGAAACAACGATGACGAAATTTTCAAAATGAAATGCAAGATCTGTTACGGTCCATACGTAGAACTCTAATGTGATTAGAACGGATGTTAATCTAAAATACGGTGTATTATCGAATTTATAAAAATGTACGGACGAATTCCAAACAAAACAAAAAAAAATAAGAAAAACCAATTTCACAAAAAGAAGTTCTAAAAAAGTGCCGCTTTACATTCGGCAATCAAGATTGTATTAGATTTAAAATGTGATTATGATCCGATTTAAGATCGTTCATACGTGCAATAATTTAAGGGATGCATTTCGTTGCATTCGAATTCTTTCTCCATAAGAATCAACTGTGTACCATCATTATCATTATCATCATCATCGTCATCATCATCTTCATCGTCATCATAAACATCATCATGGTGATATACATTATTATTATTATTATTATTATTATCATTATTATTATTATTAATATTATTATTATATATTGGCACCATATTATTGTTAAATGTTTATATTCATTTGTTTAAGTTTGACTTCGTTATTATTATACATTCATGTTTGTTTTTTAATTGATAGAAAACGCGAAAGATATATATCTGTAAATATTGAACATTAATCGAGCGGCGACGGTAGGTGACCAAAAAAAACTTTGATCCTTCCTTTGACACACATCACCTACGAATATAATAAAAACAAAAAATAATTAAAAAAAGTCTCGAGGTGTTTGAAAATTATTAATTATTCTCATTCATGATAAAATACCGAAAATACGAACGAATAATATACATCATCCGAAAAGAGAATATATTTCAGATTTAAGGTTATGTAGAGAGAAAGAGGATGATATGGACACACACAAAACCCTGATAATAGATAATAATATGCGAATATTCATTTTTAATCGCAAAACATTATCAATATATTAACTTTTGTGTTTAAATCGTTGATATTTGCATTTTGTTATCATCTTAGAAATATATTTTTTTCTTTTTTTAAGGTTATGGTAAGAAATTAAGGAAAAAAGAGAAGTAAAAAAGCAAATAATCATTTAAAAAAAAAACAATCCTCTTACAATTGTTACCTACTATTACGACGTCTTATCTTCGCGTTATCAGAATATAACAATTTTATGATTGTAACTATAATTATTATCATTATTATTCTTAACTTTTGATCTCATTGTCATTTAATATCATCATTTATTATTCGTTATGTTCTATTTCATTATTACGATTATTATTGTTGACGTTTCATGAAGTTCTACAGATATATTAGTTCTATAACATGCTTTAAAGTAAGTATAAATGTTACTCCGATTGAATAAAGGGTATTTATCGATGAATTATCTGCGTATGCATTCACGATTCTGTTTTCAAGATAAACGAACAATATAATATATAGTACTATATATATATATATATTTGTTATAAGCTATAAATGTGAATAACACACATATTGATTGTTTTTTCAATATTTTCAATTATATTATCAAAATTTTCTCGCTAATTAAACAAACAAACAAAAATTTTTAATATAAATCAGGATGCGATGCAAATAAGGGTAATCGAAATACCGTCAACCATATATATATATATATATATATATATTTATATATATACATATAGATATATATATAAAAGTTTATTTTATTTTCTTGTTTTTTTTCTTTTTATAATTATTATTATTAATTATATTTTTGTTATAAAAAAGATTTTATTTTTTTGCAGAGCCGATGAACAAAAGTGATACTCAACAAAAATACATTGCGATGATCTCATAGCTTTTACAAATAATAATAAGCGTACGAATAATTTTTATTTATATTATTATGCTCTCAATGATGATATAAGAAACGTTTTACCGTTAAAAAAATAAAAAAAAAAACGTATAGGAACATTAAATATTAGATTTATGAATCGTTTTTTTTTTCCAAATGCAAAATCGTTTGATTAAATTACATGGATTAGTTTACCATTGATAAATATACAATATTTGATGATAAATAAAACTAAGAGCTTTATTTCATGATTTCTCTATGAGAGTATCATCTTCATAAAATATAAAAATTATTCGCACTGCAGTCTATTATTTCTTTTTCATGAAGAAAAAAAAAGAAAAAAAAACAGATGAACTTAATTAGAATCCTCCATATTTTCTTCGTTCGTTCACAACGAACAAAGCAGCAACAAACATGAATTATTGAAACGAAGTTAAATAATTTACAATTATTGGTCTCACACACACATACATGACTTTTTATAATTTAAGAGAGACGACTATAATATGAGAGACTATGTTTCATTTCTCGCGAATGTAAAATTGTAATACATTGCACACATTTATGATAATCCATAATGAAATACAACGACGTATTTAAAAATACAAAAGTACATCGTAATAAATTGTTTTTTTATATATATATTTTTTTTTATATATATATTATATATATTATATAGAATCGTTCACAAGTATTCGAGCAAAAATACAATAATTATCACAAATTGGCAGTTGTATTGCGTACAAATGGGGGTTACAAATAACTTTTTCGGATGTGTATATAAATCTTCTCGTAAATTTGATTTCAATCTTACGATTAATTTGAAAAAAAAGGAAAACGAAAACTAATAAAAAAAGATTTTGTTTTTACTTCCATCACGTTTTTGTTAATGGAAATCGATACAAAAGTTTTATTAGTTTTGTCGACTATGACAAATCATAAAGAATAGTTCGTATTACAACATTTGTACCATCATCAGTCTGTAAAAATGATTTCATCTTTACAATGGACGATATCCGTTTTCTTTTTCTTTTTTTTTCGGAGAAAGGAACATGCCACGTTTTATCTTCTACCCTGGATGATCGCACTTTTACTTTTGTAATAGTCCATTTTAACGCCCAATCGCAATGGTTTTTTTTTCTCAGAAAAAATTATCCCCTTTGCGACAATTAGCGCTAATATTGACAATAATAAAAAACACACATAAAAAATACGGTGTCTCTTAGTGTCATTCGTGTCATGAAGACTTTTAATAGACTCTTTACACTTCCTCGGTCGTCTCTCTTTTTAAGCTGCTGCCATCTCGCAGCAACCCTCTCGTTTTTTTTCGTAACCACCATGCTTCAAAAAATCTTTCACCTGAAAATAATAAACGAAACATCGATTATAAAAATGAATGAATAAATCAACAAGGTTCAGTTGCCAACTGAACAATACCACATTTAACAAATAAAAAATACTAGTTTTAATTTTTTAAAAATCATATTAAAATTAAAATAAAATTACCTCGCATATGGCGGTGGCGGTGTTCGCATGGTTTCACCGGGAACCAATTCAACGGTTCCCGGTATCGTATGTTCTGTTGGTAAAGATGCCGTACTACTCGTACTTAACCTAATCAAATGACCAGGATTCAATTTAATGGCATCATCATAACTTGGTGGCGCATCAGTTACAGCTTCATAATCCGGTGGCTTTTGTCTTGCACCATTCGACGGTTCCTCGATTGAAATCACATGAATTGGATCGTCAATCTGTAAATTTCAATAAATTCGATCATCAATTATAACCTATAATTATATCACTGTAAAAATATATTGACTGAGTTACATTAATAAATGTAATAGGGTGATTTCATTTTCAAGATCAGATTAATGAATTCGATCTAAAAATAAAATTGGAAAACAATTAAACCTGAAGATCGGTTGAGATATAGAAATAAACTTGCCAACTTGTATATAACGTGACTATAATTTTTTTATTACTCAATAACGTATAAGTAAGGGATATTCACCCGGAAATGTTAACCGTTTTATATTTGTCGTAGGTCGTCTATAGATATCTATCTACGTACCTGAGTTATATATACATATATATATAGATACTCTTTATAAACTTTATAGCCGGCTGAATGTAAGCCGCGAAAGGGCGGGCAAGATATGTATAGGGTGACGCATGAGACTCAAACGACTAGAATAGACCGGTTATTTGCAGCTATAAAGAAAGCTTCGGAGAAAATTGCATAATCGCTTTTAAGTGGAAATACAGGGTGAACGACTGAAATCTTTTTGATATGCGTCAACCGTGAACTATTCATTTTCATATATATATATATATTTTTATTATTTTAACCCTTTTTAATCGTCAAGTTCAAATATTTCAAAAGCTCTAAAGGTTAGAATTTATAAAAAAAGAAATAGAAAGAGAAAAGATCTTTTCAAAAAAGAAAGAAACGTTTAAACCGAAAAATTTATAGGTTATATTAGTTTTATTTAAGGGAGAGAGAATAAAACAAAATAAAAACAAAGTTAGACAGGTGTATCAACCGTAAGAAAGATAAAAATATATCCTTTATAGATATACACTTCCGGGTGAATATACCTAAAGTAGTAAACCGTCCTTAACAACGACTCTAGTCAACTGACGACCTCCTTTCGTTGTCTCTTACTTGACTAACTCGTACTTTAGATCCATCCTAATATAATTTTTTCTTTCTATATCGTAATTATTAAAAAGGTACTCGTAACAAACCTATTCCCCAAGTATTTTCTTTCTTTTATTTTCAAATAGATCAATCAAAAAATAATAATGATTTATTGTACTGAACACCTTATTTATTTTGATAAACATACTAGTATTTGTTAATAAAGTTCAATAATTTTTCTTACTTTTATTTATTTTGTTTTTCTTATATTTTTCTTTGAATTTATGACAGATAAGAAACGCGATAAGGGTCGGTTATAAACGACAAAGACAATCTTTAAACGAAAGTTGACGGAGCCTAACAGCTCATGATGAACGTGTGAGTGAAGATTTCCCTGATTAACTTATATATATATTTAAAAAAAAAAAGAACTTACTTATTGTTAGATAAAAGCAATCGACTGACGCAACGGCAAACATTTAAGCCTTGTCATCGGAATAAAAGATCGTTTATCGTACACAAGAATTAGACTAACTTGACTTTTTTCTTCCTCGTTAAAGTTTCTTTACACCGATAGTAGGCAAACATCGAAAAAGAAAAAACAAAATAAGAATTTTAAACACGTTCGTCTTTTGAATTAATTTACAATGTAAGTTAACGATTGAATAATAATAATATCGGTATAAAATGTTAATTCTATTTGTTTTTTTTCCTTTTCAATATCATATCAAATTGACTTACAATTAGATCGATCTAAAAGATTCTTGAATCTTCCAGGCCGTTCAAGCATGTCGTACTAAACTGTACAACTTGAAAAACTATCATCGATGACTCATTTTAGCAATGAGTTCCTACGTTTAATACTATAGTTTACCGTTTCTCAATAATAATGATAAATCTTTGATATGGATGATATTTAAATAAAAAGAAAAAGAAGGAAACACTTATGACGTTCGTATTCTACGTAAATCAATGAATTTTTATCGAGATGGGGAAAAACTGCAATTAATCGATTATGTTATTTCTTCATAAATGACGTTACATTAACGGGAATACAGTTTCCATGATTTTCGAACTGATTTCAGATGAAAGGATTTGTCTTAAAAAGTAAAACGAGAGGAAAATTATGAATCTTTAGAGATTTGTCGTTCATAATAATGATAAATTACCTGGGCCGTGATTGGATGATTCGCGTGTTGCGCGTGCGTGCTAGTCCGAGTTGGCGGCGCGTGTAACCAGCAACACATAGCTGCACATATCAAAAGTGCCCCTGCTACTATGCATGCAACTCCAACGTATCGGACTGGTTCGACATAATTTTCCGCAAGTCCTAGCCAATTTATCAAAGCTCCAACACATAAAAGGACCATACCGTACCTGTACGGTCGTTGAGAACGTCGTGAATCCTCCAGAGACATTACTAAAACATGCAAGAAATAATAAAAAAAAATAACTAAATGAACTAACAGATAATTATATATAGATATATAATTAATTCCTATTGATTATGAAATTAATAATATTTATTATTATTATTATTATTTACAATTAAACAATTTCATAAGTTCATTAATATTGCACAGTATTTTATATATTTCATTATCATCAAAGATATTCTAATAATAATTAATAACATTTAATAATTTATATATTAATAATTAATTATTAATATTATTATTATTTTACTTTATTCCTAATATTGTAGTTATAAACTACATTACATTAAATTATGTTTGTTTATTATTGGATTGAATTTAGTTAATTATGTTACTCTAGTGTAAAATAATGATAGAAAAAGGATTTGAATATTACTTTAATTTATTTCTAATTTAAATTTTCAGAAATTATGTGTTTATTATTTCACCTTAGTAACAATAGTTATATATTTATTTGATATTAATAATAATAATTATTATTATTAATATTTATCTAGCTTTTTATAGAGTATATATATCATTTTTGTGATAAAATGATAAAGCTATTATTAACTATGATTCCTTACAATGATTGGATAGATATGCGAAATTATTCAAACAAAACTTAATGTACGAGTATTTCTAGGTAGATTCTAAAAGATAGAACTTAAAAAAAACACACACACACGTAATATACACGAAGGGCATGAAATAAGTTTTATGGTATATGAATGTCTATATATAATTCTCGATTAATACAAAGTAGGCTAAACACGGACCGATAATACAATGTAGAGAATCCAATGCAGGTAAGTCATTTTATCATTATTAAACCTACATTCGATCGTTTTCTATTTTATTAGGACTTCGATTCGATAAAAACTAAAACACTGATGCACAAATTTGTTATACTAATCATAATAATTATTTAGGAACAGAACAAGTATTAATATCTTTTATAATATTAACATAAATTAAATATATTTTATCAAGAAGCTTTTTATATTAGTATGAAAAGTTGACTATTGGTTCAATAAAAATATATAAAGGTTCAATGAATATCAAATTAATTAATTAATTAAATTAATATTAATATTAATAAAATATATATACTAATAACAAAATTATTAAATTAATATTAATATTGATAAAAGATTTGATACCATTGATCATCTCCATAACTGGTTATGTATCAATAAAATGATTAAACTACACTATCACTATATGAACTATCTTCCTACAATTGACTGATTACAAAGTAAAATGATATACATGCAACCATATATATATTTATATTTATATATAGAACATATACACATATAAGATAATATAGTTTAAACAAACCGAGGAGTTAGACTATTTTACGTATAAGCTCGCGGTTATATCAAACGGTGCAGAAATCATAAAGATAAGGCGTATTTTCAAATCTTTGTCAAGTACCCCACAACGATATCATCGAGTTTAAACGAATAAAACCCTCCCCCGTTCCTCACCCTCTACTCCCAGTGAACACATGATCATCCGTCGTAAAATAAATCTTTTTTTTTCACATATTTGCAAAAGTGACTAGCAAAAATGACGATGATAGCAGAAATAATGCGGTTGTTCTCGAAATCGCAACGCAAAAGGTTGTTGTTGAGAGAGAGCAAGCTCATGACACTCGAAGAAAAAGCGCAATCGGTGTTTTCACGATTGCAGAGAACGGAAAGAGAACGAACGAATGGGGGATACGAGACTGGTGGCACGTAAGTACTTAACATATGTCATTTCAACGAGATATGAAACAACATTTCAACTCCTATCACGTGCTTATTACTTTGTAAACTATATTTATTTACACATTTTTTAAATTAACAATTATAGCTAAGTAAAAATAATATTTCTTGTTTATGCTTTTAAACGTTTTATGCTTTTTATTTTTTAATGTTCGAGAAAATCCTAGACTACAAGCATCCAACATATTCTTAACAAATAACATTCAAGGTTATACAGAGTAGATATGATATCACACGTTTTATTATGTGCACATATGTACAATATATATATATTACATATGTGAGGAATACTCGTCGAATTGTTTCGTTATTTTATTTTTAACATATTCATACAAATTCTTAATAATAGCGTGATGGTTGCGTGTGTTTTCTTTTGTCTGATAACAAATTAACTCTTTCATACGTTATTATTTCGTAAAAATTGTTGAGATGAAATTTGGTACAACACGTGATCACGAAGAAACTTTAATCGTTTACAAACAAAATAAAAAATTGTCGTGATTTTGGTACGTCAGGCGCTCAGGGGTTTTCCGTGGTGGGTTCCGAGAAAGTTCAACACGCAATATATTACCGTGTGATGATATTCGTGTGTATCAGTGAAAACGTGTGTTCTTTATAGTGGTCAAGCGAGTTGCTTCGGTTGAACCTTATTTTCTACTCTTCTTCGAGCCACTATTTCAGTCGGAGGTACCTCAAACCGGTCGGTGATCTTCCTTTAGTATGAAAGGAATAGTTAGTTAATTGGCTGGGGCATATATACATTTGTGTGAATGTGTGCAAGATTATTATATGTTCTTGTTGGTTCGTTGGTTGAATTTTTCTTTTTTTTTCTGTTTCTTTTTACGAATAACGTCCTCATTAAAGACTTACCGGAGCATTATCAAAAGATAATTGATAATATAAAAAATGTATATTTTTATTTACTTTGCAATTAATTCGATAATTAAAGTAAAATTTATGATTTCTTTAAATTTAAAAATAACTTGCATATTATTTGGCAAAACTCGTTTGAACTATAAACGGTACTGTTAATAAAAGATAAGTAGCTTTAATTTTTTGAATAATTTGCACGATTTTATGTACAATACTATAATTTAATTGTTTTATTGATCGTTAGTAAATTTGCAACATTTCTTTTCTGAAATATTTCAATTCGATTAGATCATTTCGTGGTGTTACATCGATACGATTTATACAATAAAAATTATAGAATACTTAATTTGCATTTTCAAGAAAACAACTTAGGTTTGCTAAATCAAACACATAAACACTTACAAACCTAAATAATATTTCAAACAGTTTTTCTCAATCTATCAAAAACAGTCGAACATTAATCCAAGTTAAATTGATTTTGAAAAAAATATATAAAATATTTGTAAAAGATTTTCAAAAATCAATCTATCAAAAACAGTCCAATATTAAGTCAAGTTAAATTGATTTTGAAAAAAATATATATACAGTATTTGTAAAATATTTTTAAAAAGTTTGTACAGAATTTAATTTACAAATTCGAGAAATGAAAAGGTTCGAGAAACCATGACGAACATAATATTTGTCTCGCAAGACAAGACACTTCGTATAATGCTGAAATATATATATAGTATATATATATTATAGTATATAATATTAGGTTTTTACAAATTGTGTATATTAAATATTTGGATAATACCATCATTACAAACAAATGTGTTTAATCGTATAACAAGAAAGATTGAGAAACGCTGATATCGAGGATGTTTCATCGTACTATATGTATGTATCTATAGAAAAGACATTGACCTGAGGAAACATCGGATACCATCGTATCGCATCGTTACTCTTGCACTTTTATTTTTTATTTTCTGTTTTTTTTACAATCTTTTGACTTGACTCTACTCAATTTTCATTTATATATTTTTTACTTGAAAAATTTACGTAACTTTTTAATATTATTGGTTATCAATCAAAAAGTTTCATGTTTTATTTCAAAATGAGAGAGATTTTTCTTCTTTTTTTTTTTTTTATTCGGGATAGTACCTTATGATCATATCAGAAAACTTCAAAGTCCGGTTATTTTCTAACGCTTTTATACCATTCTATAGCACTCTAGAAATAGCTCATGCATTCATGACGTTGACGTAAACTAGTGGTCGCCACCTCGACGTATGAAGTAAAAAGCTTTATCGGTAAATTATTTCAACTTGGTTCAAAAAGCTTGTCCTAAATATTCTAATGTTAAGTCAGTTAACCAAATTATAATATTAACGTTCACTAGAATATTTATAGATACGAAAAATATATGAATTGTAAAAAGAAACTAGAAAATATTGATTGTAAAGTACAAATATAAGTATATATGTAAAATATACTAGAAGATAATAAGTTAACAAATTATAATATTAACTGTATGTTCTACTAAGATATCAATGTATATGAAAAATATATAAATTATAAAAAAACTGGAAAATATTGATTGAAAAGTACATATATGTATGTATATATGTAAAGTATACTTAAAGCATAAACTGAAGGCCAGATTTAATTATCTTGTTTATAAATTTTAAATAACTTTGACAATAATATACGAGTTCTACTAATTCCTAGATAAAAAAAAATATAATCAACTAAGTGTATTTAAATTTATGATGCACTCGTATTTAAATAAAAAATCTGAAAAATGTTTACTTCTTTAAAAGAAGATATAAATTTTCCTATGAATATATAATGACGATGAAGATGATGATAAGAGCTTTCTATGTACTGTATCAGTTAACGATTCAAGGGAAAGTGTCACGATTGCTAACTTTCCGAAAGTCGGGCTCGTACGAGCCCCAGGCCACTACTACCAACACAATTATCACAAATGCTTATGCTTCACATTTCGCAACAATCGTGGGAACGTAGCAGCAAACATTTTCAACAAAGATCGTTTATGTTAAAAAAGACAAAATAAAATATTAATCAATAACGCGAAAAAGAGTTATATTGTTTCATATCTTTTTTAATATTTATGATTTGAAAACAAGTACGACAGACATATTGCATTTTCAACAAGATTTAGCAACGAGTTGAAAAATATCAGCAAACAGTCATAATTCAATTTAACTTAGTATTGTATATCATATATATATATGATATAGGAATATGATATTGCACATATAGACACCTATCCAGTATATACAAAGACTTATTTTTGTCATTTAATATTTACAAAACGTTAAAATAGAAATGCAAATTGCATCTTATCATTT